TTTACAAATGCGGTGGGGGGTTGTTGGTTTGTTGGGGGTTTCGGGGTGGGGGGGATGCGTGATTTAAATCCTATTTTGTGTCTAATGATAGGAAAGTTAACTTTTCCTGTGTGGGTTTTGCCATTACTACTTAACAATTCTAAAGATGTCCTGTTGTCAACCAATTAAGAACTTTCTAGTTTGACATCTGTTGCTGCAAGCCTTTAATGACTTCTTCGTGATTAGGGACTGGAAATGAGTTTGGGGGTGTATTTAGTATTCAGGCTGACTAGTTCTGAGTGCAAACGGTCAACTTCCGTGCCCTTTTAGAAACCGCCTTTCTCCACAGTTGGGGAAAATCAAAAGATGCAATTCTCCATTGCTTTTTAAACTGAGCAGGAGACTAATTTTTTTACCTCTGAGTTTTTATGCTTGAGGCCCAGAGAGAGGGTGAGGCATTGTCCACAGTCACACGTCACCTTCCAAACTGAACTCACTTGTGGAGTCAATTTGGACTCGTTGACCCTATAGGACCCAGGAGAACTGCCCCTATGGGTTTCTGAGACTGTAAATTTTTGCTGGAGTAGAAAGCCTCATTTTTCTCCAAATGATCGGCTGGTGCTTTTGAACTATTGACCAGTTAGCAGTCGAAGGCATTACCCACTATGCCACCACATCACCTTGGAGGCTGGCAAATTGCTTAAAATTTTAAACTGCTTAAAAAACGCATTATCTGATTCCAATCTCCCTGCATAATCCTTGATGAAGTTTTTAATGAGTAAGACCTCTTCCCCTATCCTTTCTCCAGGCTCTCTGGCTCCAGTCTCTTTTGTTGTTTTTAACAATTACAGTGCATTTGCAGCTCTTGAATGGAAAGATGCTATTTCGAAACACTGGCATGAATTAATGACGTTAAAAAACACATTTGTAAAAAAAAACAAAACACACATTTGTATGTGAATGAATGCAAGTTCCTCTGAAAGTAAACAATTGTCTAGACACCAATGTAGTCTCTAATTGGCTAACCTGTTCAGATGAAATGCTTAAAAATCTAGAATAGTAATGAATTCGTCCACTTGGAATTAGCCTCCTTTTGTACAGGTTGTTGGACCTTTCCTGAAGCAGCTCATAACAATAATCTTGTCCACATCTTTAAAAAGAAGAAGCCTCCCATCCTAAGCCTTTAGGCCCTTAGATCGAAACAATTTTGGCTGCTGCCACTGGGGCTGCAGTTCCCCGTGACTCCAGTGGGAATCCGGTGCTGGGCTCTGTTGATGATTTCAGATGCACTGCCTGAGTGAGAGGCAGCTGAGCCTACTTCTAGCATTCCCAAAAGGTGGTGCTGCTGGGGCCTAAGTAGGTTTGGGAGAAAGTGGAATCGTGCACATGTTGTTTCAAGGTGATGGTGTGCAGTCATTATTTCTGAAAGGGACGATGCTGTTCCATTCTCTCAGACTTGGGCAGGAATTCTGTTCTCAGTAACTACTGTGTCACAAGAATTGTTAACTTCCAGAAACTGAAGGGGAGGAGCGGAGATCCTAGGGTCTTTGCTGCCACCCACCGCCACCCCTCCCAAAAGGCCACTCAGCCCTGGAATTTCTCAAAACCATTATGCTAGCTTGGTTGTAGGGAAATTATTTTTCTTTTATGACATAAGTAGTTTAATTTGTACAAGGGGGCTTCAAAAAGTTTATGGAAAAACTCCATTATCTCTTTTTTTCCCTCCATTATCTCTTAAATTCCATTTTTCCATACACATTTGTATGTTGATTTTGACAGTAGTTTATGCCTTATTATATATCATGCTTTCAAACATTCCTCCAGTCGACATTTGTCTTTGTTTTTGTTTGTTGGGTTTTTGTGTCTGTTTGTCTTTAGACAAGTGTAAGTTGAGAGTGGTATAAAGCAGACTGTTAAGGTAGGAAAGAACTGATGTCAAAGGTCAGGAGCCCTGAGTGGTGTTGAAGTCAATGTGCCCCTCTAGAAACGAAACTGGTACAGAGAGAAATTTCACCCGGATTGCCACGTTCTCCTCCAGCAAGGATTCTGTAACTCCTATGTTCTGGCCTGAAATCTCCCAGCCAAAGCTTGAGGTCACCCTCCTGGCCCGCTGACTAGGTTTGTCACCCTGCGAGGTTGAGGAGCAGCATGGACAGGGGGCAAGATAGCAGCAAGGAGGAGGCCCAGCTCCCCTCCTGGTGTGTGCGCATACCGGGCAGTGTCTGCGTCACTTTGGCATAGTTGAATCTGGCAAAGATAACCCCGTCTAAATGATAACTTTTACCAGCGTAAGCTGCTTTTAGATGCCTGTGTTGATGCACCAAATATTTATTGAGCATCTGCTGTCTGCAAGACACCGTCTCTGTATAAACTTGAAACTGCTCCTCTCTCATTCATCCAACCACATGAAAGTGATTACTCAGAGTAAATGGTGTTCAATATTTTCGCCATGAAAAGCCTTGAATGAGCGGATGCTGATTTCCTACCAGCTTACTTTTATCTTTAAGAATTTAAGGAGTAAACTCAAATTGAGAAGTCTCTCCAGAACATTTGTGCAACATCTGTTTCCGTGTCAACAACCATTTCATTCGCTCAGGCATGCTCATTCTGAAGGTGTGTTTTTTGTTGTTTTTGTATTGTTTCCTCGGCCAACCCTAGTACTTAACATTCTTAAGAAGCTCATCTGCCTCACTTGGTAGCGGACACTACCTTTGCTATTATGTCCCCCGCCCGCATTCAAGAAGCAACACTTGTATCCAGCCCCTGCCCCACCTTGTGAGAATGCCTGCATTGCTTTCCATTTCTCTCGGGGGTCGGATGTAAAGTTACACAGGAATTAGAAATCGATACATGGAAATAAACTTAGCGGCAGCCGCTGTAAGACCCCTTTCTTTGTTGCTTTCCTCCTCCTGCTCTTCAGAGCCAGGCCTTCCAGCCCAGTCAGTTCACAACACTGAGAGGTCTTCTGAAAATGTGCCTTCAGCCCCGACTTCCACAGCTCATTGCTTCTGCCACCCCGCGCCTCCTCACTCTTCTGTCTGCCTCACTTGAGACACCCAAGGCTTGGCCCTCCTTCCCATCTGGAATGCTTCGGGGCCTCCAGAGAAACCCTCCCTTCTTGTTGGGGGCCTCCCCGCTGACCCGCTCCAGTTCATTGTCTGCCCGATTCAGTGGGGACTTGGTCTATAAAGTGCCGCCCAGCGTGGTGTTCGCTTGCCGTGGGAACTCAGTAGTAAGCTTCTCAAAGTGACAGCCTGCATCTAGTGCTGCCTCCCACTCCGCCAGGCTTGACAAGGTGCTCCCGGGGAATCGGCGCCTCTGATTTGGCTTTGCCTCCCATCAGGTAAGGCACCTGTATATCTGCGATTTCCACAAAAATTTCATCCAGAGCGTACGGAATAAACGAAAGAGGAAGACAAGTGACGATGGCGGCGATTCTCCGGAGCATGACACCGACATTCCTGAGGTAAGAGGCAAATCCTCAGCCCCCAGAAGCTGGCAGGGTGGTGTGGATGCGTCCAAGCTGCTCCTTGCCTCTGGCCTCGTGGCATCCTGTGCTAAGTGGGGAAGGTGGTCTCCTCCCCTTTGCTTTGCTGAGGAGGCCTGGCCTGGTGAGGTGCTGGGTCTACCCAGTGGGCTGCTAACAGCAAGGTCGGTCAACCGGTCAACCGTTGGAAAGCCCCGGGCTCTCCTCAGGAGAAAGATGAGCGTGGAAGTTGTCAGTTCACACCAGCTCTGCCACTGTGGGCCACTCCCCGGTCATTACACTAGACCGGGGGTCCTCGCCCCAGCCCTCTTGACAGCGGGCCAGGTACTCCCTTGTTGTCCGTAACAGCCCTGGCTAGTTGCCAGTCACAATACCCGGCGTCATGACAATCAAAAAGTGTCTCCAGATATTGGCCAGTGTCCCCTGGGGAACAACGTCGCCTGTTAGGCAGTACTGCACTGGTCGATGAGACCCAGGCTTCTCAAAACCAGAAGGCTACCTTCCCTTCAGGGTGCCAGCGCCTATTAAGGGAGCCTCCAGGAAGGAAAATTAGATTTTCTTTCTATCTAAACTGTTTTCACTTAGGACTCAGCAAAAGAAGAACCATTTATAGTGTACATTGAGTATTTGAAGCATGAATATTTCATAAGGCAACCCCTCGGAGTGAAAATGACTGTGTAGGAATAGGAAGAGTGGGCGGGCCTTTGTCTGCAGATGTGGAGGAAACCTTTGAAAATGCAGCCCTTTCCCCCTGCCCCTCCCCATGTCCTCTTTCAGCCTTGCCTTTCAGCATCTTGCTGTAGCTTTTGGCATTATTATTATTATTTTATAAAGAAATGGGTGTTTTCCATTTCCAATTGCTTTTCACACACACACACACACACACAAAGTTTTGATGAGTATTTTGAAAAGAATGAAGGACTTTGGCCCCTTGTGTGAATCATTCATTTTATTTTTAAGTGCTCTCCATCTGCCTGAAGCAAGGACGTCTCTTTTAGAGGCTGGTAAAGCAGCCCATATTTCTGGGCTGTCAATATTTCATCACTGTGCACCTTCCCTCTCCTCCTGTGTTAGAACAAAAAGGGTCCCTGGTGGTGTAGTGAGTACAAGTTGGGCTATTAACCCCAAGGTCAGCAGTTTGAAGCCCCCAGCCATTCCACAGGAGAAAGACAAGGCTTTCTATTCCCATAAAGAGGTACGATCTCAGACACCCAAAGGGGCAGTTCTACCCTGCCTTAAAGGGTGGCTATCAATCATAGCCGACTCAATGGCAATGAGTTGGAGGTTGGTTTTCCCCTCTGTTGTCCAGTCATCTGGGGAGACCCCGGCCCCATCACAGTAGCGTTGGGCTTTCTATAGAGGGCTGGTCATGATTCAAACAACCTGAAGGATGAGCCCCCAAAAACAGTTTTTTGAGAATAACAGTTCTTTCAGCTGTTGTCCCTCATGCCCCGCTCTGCAGGCTGCTGCCTAGTGCTGGCCTGTCTTCCTGCAGGACGCCTCTGGTTCTGCCTTGCCCTCCCTCACCACGCACTCAGCTCGGCTTCATCACGTCATCTCTGGACCGTTGCAAGAGCATCACCAACCCCCTCCTACAAACCCCCACCAGATCTGTCCTCCGAAAGCATCATCCTACACTGTCTCTGATGGCTCCTTGGGCTTTCAAGACATGCTGCCACCCAGCCCCACTGTTTACAGCCATCAAGATTGCCAACGAGCTCTGGCCCATCAGTTCCTCCCTCACTCCCTTCTGTGCCTCTTGTCTTCTAAACCCTGCCTGGCTTAAGCTTCACCTCCTCCACTTGCCTTCTGTGGTCACCCTACCCTGCCAGAATTAAATTCCCACTGTTAGTGTTGTCTTACCAGGAAGATAGTAGTTCAAAGGGCCGTTTCGAGCCCTCCCAGCCACACCTACTGGAGTGCCAGGCACATGTGGGGGGGGGGGTGCTCTTGTGAGTGTGGGCTGGTTGGGTGACAGCTCATGTGTTTCTCCCCTTCTCCCTAGGTCGATCTGTTCCAGCTGCAGGTGAACACTCTACGACGTTATAAACGACACTACAAATTGCAGACCAGACCAGGCTTCAATAAGGCCCAGCTAGCAGAAGTAGGTGAACAAAACCGGCCCTAAAGAGGGTCTGCTGTGCCTCTGGTGTGAGGCCGCCTTCTCCCCTATTGCAGCTGTGCCTGGTCACTCTTCCCTTCCTGGCTCCCTCTGCTGCACAGCGTGGACCTGGAAGGGTCCCTTTCCAGAAAGGCGACCAAGCAAAGTACTTCTTTAAGAGCACACAGCAAGTTGGCGACAGGGTCAGGCCAGGGATCTCAGGATTCTAAGTTCTGAATTTTCCTTTGTTGGAACCTTATTTTTCCCCACCCTCATAATTCCTCATAGTGGTATCCTGTGTATACATCAGATGGGGCAGGTAAATTTTCTTAAAATTTTCTCTAATATCAAAAGTAATTTTTTTCTTTCTCTAATATCCTGAAGTTCTGCTTTTTCTTTCCTTGTTTTAGTGTTGGGGGCTCAGGGGCGGGTGGGTATTTGTTTTGCTTTTCTCGATGCCTTCGATGTGGATGTTGGTAATGGATAATAAATGGAGTCCAGGAGAGTTTCCCCCAGCATGAGTCGTAGCACTGTTAGTTTGGTGGTGAGGGAAAACATGTTGCAGACAGCCATTACTCCCCGCACTTACACACTTACACACTTACACAAAGGATGACTCTGCCCTCAGCTTTGATGTATTTCATGTGAGATGGTTGAATACGAGTTAGGGAACTTCTCGGGTCCAACGCTAGCATCCATTCAACTTTACGTTCATTTGATGCCACTGTAAGGGACTTTCCTACCCACTTCCAAGGTCTGGGAGGTTATGTAGCAGGTCGCCCACCTGAGCACTCCCAGGCTCTTCTCCCTGGGGATGAGTCTGAACTCATGCCGTGCTGGTTGGCTGGCTCTCGCTAAAATAGCACTGCGTCTTGGGAGTGCTGTGCATTCAATGACCTCCTTTGAAAGCCAGGAAACCAAATCACCTAGAGCCCCGGGAGAGAAGGGTGTTCCAAGATCTTGGCAGTCCTTCCTGCTCCTGTGGTGTGATTTAGCCAGGCTTGGACAGTGCCCTTAGCACCATCTGTGGACCTGATTTGTACATGTTTGACAGGAGTCTGGGTTTTCTCCCCCCATGTAGACCGTCAGCCGACACTTCAGGAACATACCCGTGAATGAGAAAGAGACCCTAGCCTATTTCATCTACATGGTGAAGAGTAACAAGAGCAGGCTGGATCAGAAAGCGGAGGGCGGCAAACAGCTCGAGTGAAGGCGCACCTGGAGGTGGCGTGCCTGATGGCCAGGTGATGGTTAAGTCCATGAAGACTGTTCAGTTTCATTGTAAATAAAAATGTTTGATGAATACTGTACATCTTTTTGGCCGGGAGGATCATATTCTCATGATTCAGCATGTGTATAGAAAGAATTTCCTTTTTTGAAGAAAAAAATGGATCATAAAAAGATAGAAGATAGAAAAACTATGTATTGCAGCAATTAACAAAGCATTAAGTCAATTCTACTGGAAATGTGGGATAAAAAAAATAGCAACTTATAGTGCCAGGCTGCCACAGCGTGAGCTGCAGCAAGGCCTGGCGGCAGGTTGGACTTGTACACTGCCCTCTGGGGACCTACAAGCTTCCCTTCACTGAAAGCTTTGTTCATCAGCAAGTCAGTTTGGCGCTGGTCCTCCTCATCGCTCTGTGCTCCTAGTAGGAGGGAAGCACCCAGTCAGGATTGGTCAGCAAATTGCCAGCTTAGTGCCAGTCTTGTCACAGCTGCTTCACACCTCTGGTAACTGAGGTGACTACTGCCATTCCTCTTGCTTGCCACTTCACCGCTAGCAAACCCTGATGCTCAGCACAGAGATTTCAAAATCAAAGCCAGATGTTAGGGGGCAGTCGGATGTTCAGAGCTGCATGTTCATCTTCCAGAACCATGAATATAAAGGCCGTCACAGGAAAACAAGTCCTTTGCAGCCCCTCGGCATCACTCTGGGGCAAGGTTGCTTTTATGGCTTCAGCTGTTCCCCTAGGACATGGCTGCTTTACATGACTCGGGGCTAATGTCTCAGAGGTGCCAGTCCAGCTACCAGGGAAGCTGCCCGGCAGTACTGTGGAGGAGAGTCGGGAGCTCATGGCTCAGCACTGTGGCCACCCTGCCTCCATGAGTCCACAGTCGTAACCGCAAAGGCCATGCCACTGATGATCATGTTTGTGTGTGATTTGGCTCCCTCTGAGGGAGAAAGTGCTAAAATTATTTTCTAAGAAAGTATTAATAATTAACTTTAAAAAAATACATTCAACAAGTCAGATTCTTCTCTCTAATTATATCAGAGCCAAAGTCTCCTGTGAAAACAAAGCTTTATCCAAAAGCATGCTTTTTCAAATTTTGTAATCAGGGTGTTGAAGGGCAGAGGGTGGGAAGAAATAAAGGCATTTGGATTTGGATTTCTGGCCATCTTGCTGCATATCATGGTCAAAAGTGTCATTTTCCCTCTCAGCTTCAAGTCTGAGTTCTTTGTTAAGCCTTACTCATAGGAGGAACGGCAGGCTGCCTAGCAGAGAGCCTTCCTGTTGCTTAGACGGCCTAATCTCAGCGCCAACACAGAGGAGGCAGGGCTTCTGTCCCAGGGGAGTAGGTGGCAGTGCCTGAAGGCCACCCCCCCTTTCCCCGGGCAGAGCACACGCCCTCTGTGGGTGGGTTCAGCCACAAACGGAAACGACTTGTGTGCCCCTGCAGCCAAGCTTTCACCAGTGTTCAACTGCACGTTTATCAGATTGCTGCCTTTTCAAATGTGTCAATGAATATGCTCTGGGCCGTGTGGGAACATATGTTCACACCCTCCTGGTTGCGGAGAACGGTCAAGGTGCTCTCATAGTGTTTTCCACATTCAGATTCAGTGTGTATCTGGAGATTTCCTAACTGCTTAACAGCTTGAGAACATTGGTGGCATCGGGCATCCAGAAGGGTCAAAGGTAGGGCGTATTTGGCTTTTTTCCTTGCAGGCTGAGTTAGAAAGGCTCAGAAGACATCCCACAGCACGCCCCTGTGTTTGCCAGTGCCGAGTGTTTCCTCGCAGGGCTGCTGGGGCCTGTCGGCTGAGGGCTCAGTAACCTGCCGTCTGGATACCTCCACAGTTTTTTAGAAGCATTTTTTTCTCTAACATTGAGCCCGAAATTGTCAGACAAGGCAGCGTGTCACTGTCTCTCTAACAGCCGATCTGTGTTCCCAGTGGAGACAGTGCATTTCTCTACAGCAAGCTGTGGTGTCGGAATCCATCTGCTTACGTGCCGTTCCGAAGGGGCGCTGAGGGAAGCACTGCACCTTCAGCCGGATCCCGTGCTCGCGCTCACTCCAGGCCCAGGCCGGCTTGCCTCTAAAGGAAGGTGCTTATGGAAAGCGAAGGTTGTGGGTAGCTTTTCCTTCTTTGAAAATAGGTCAGGTGAGAGAAAAGGCAGAAACCATCTGAACTTTTTTCCACCCCCATGTGCAAAACTCTGTTTTCTCATCAAGCCACTTGCCTTAGTCTCTCCTGCCATTTCTGCTGGCTTGATCTGTGGCCACATGGCTTCTGCCAGTGAGAGAGGGCCAGGCCTCCCGAGCAGCGGGCTCCGGCTGGCTTCACTGAGCAGGGGGCCTCGGGAGGAGTAAGTTCATCTGGGCTGCTGGGTTTGTACACCACCTTCCTCCACCTGTGACCAGCAGCGCTGCCTTCTTTCCTCTTGGTGCTCCTGGGCAAAACTGGAATCCAAAATCTAGAATGGGCACTGTCATCTCCTTAGAAACGCACTGTTCCTGCCCTGGCCTGGCCTCGTATGTGACTTTCATAGACCCGGAGGTTGTCACAAGGACACACCACTATCCTGCCATTCATGTGACTTTGTTTTAAGGTCTTTAAAGCCAAACAGACAAACTTCTCATGTCAATGAACAGACTCTTCATTTGGCACCAGCATGTGAAAGGATCACTCATGGCCGAATCCCAGGAAGGGTTGAGAACCAAAGGATTCAAGACCAGTGTTGTAACTGCACTCATGTGTTACACCTGCCAAGTGATTGGGGCTCCTGTCATAGTTAATAGTCACTGAGAGCCTTTCAGGGAATGGATATTAATCACTGTTTGCTGCCAGAATGTTGTGTCTAGCTTCGGTATCTGGGCTGTTTCTTTTTTGTTGTTGTTAATATCTTACAGAGCAGCTGTCTGGTGGGGAAGAGAAGGTGAGAGGAAACTTGGGGGGTCTTTCCTGTTAAAGCAGGCTGCCCCAGGTATGTATTCCAGAGGGGCGACTCTGTAGAAATCATCAGAAGACACTGTAAAGACTCAGCCATTACAATGATAAGCTCTGAGTGGGGAAGGACCTGTGTGTCATCCAGCCTGGGCTCTCCATCACTGCTTACAATCTGTCCACAACCGCGCCACCATAGGACCAGAGAACTCACTACCTCTTGGGGAGCCTGTTCTATCTCTGTAAACCACTGGCTCTCCTGCATTCTCCGTCATCTCCATCTTAGTCTCTGCCCCATCAGGCCCCACTAAACAAGCTGCCAATTGGCTGTGCTTCCCGAAAACTGGCCCGTGCCGTTCTTCATAGGAGCATGTCAGGGAGCGCCCTGCTTGTGTTCTCCATGAACCTGGTGGAATGGGGTAGGGGCAGGCACTGTCAGCCTGCTTTAAAAAAGTGACCGGAGATGACAGGATGTATTCTGTGTCCGTCTGTGTCTCCCCTACCCCCACCCCCCACCCCAAATTGATGTTGCCAGTTTCACTTAGGACCCATTTCAGGTGACTTTTAAAATATTACCGTTGTTCCATGTGGAGTCTAGAGGGTCCATGGCTGCCAGCGGCCGGTCCATTAAATACAGCTCTGCAGGTTCACACACTGCTTTTATTGAGAAAGCAAAGCCTGGAGCTTGAGGAGGAAACCGTATGTTTCAGGCGCAGAACAAGGCCATAGTTTCTGGCTGGAAAGCCCATGAAGGGTGCTTTGGTTCAATCCTCTAGTCTTAGAGATGGGAAAACTAGACCTGAGGGCCTGGCATCAGGGCTGGCTTCTCGTTTTCCCGGCTTGCAGACTAACGTCTTCAGTCCAGGCTGAAGCCAGTTGCCCTCACAGTCTTGAGACCTTGCAACTGAGCCCGTTCCCAAGGTCAACTGGCCCTCAAGGACTATGAGAGGGCTTGCGGAACTCAAGGTTGAGTCTAGTCCGAGGTCAGAGTGCGGAAGCCGTGGAGGGAGAAGAAAGTTTGTCCTAGCATCCAGATTCTCACAGAACGGGCTAGTCGGATCGGGGTGCAGCCTCACAGTCCTCCTTACTAAGCTGGGCCATCAACGGAGAGACAGCTGAGCTCAAGGACATGCCCTGGGGAGCCTGATGCCTTAGGAGATGCCCCTTTACCGCCTTTTACTGCATTACAGACTGCCCCACCATCTCGGGGAGGAGGCGTTCTGAGGTGTACCTAGCCTGGGGTGAGGGAGGAGGACCCATTCTTGAGGTAGAAATGCCTGCCAGCAGCTCTCTCCTCCTGCTGCGTCTTCACACTGACTCTCCGGATGCCTCACTTAAGGAACACACGTTGCCAATGACAGCGGGCTGGGCTGGAGCCCTGTGTCTGCATTTCTATTATCCGTTACTATGCCTGACAGAGTGCATTGTGGGGAGTTTGTTTGGAGGTTTGTTTTTGCTCTTTTTCTTCCCCCACTTTATTTCATTTTTAACTGCCTTACTGAAAAGCAAGTGCCCTTCCATCCCAGGCTTCTTCCTGTTGTACTTTTTCCTGCCAAATTTGGGAGATCATTTGTATTTTGATCTTTGTAACCTATGGCTCTGTACTGTTGAAAGGCGGTCAATTCTGTGGGGTCTCCTGAGTATACATCTGACTTCTCGTGTTGTAACAGCACACAGATGGGATGGCCCCCCGTCGCTCTGAATAAACGATCTGAATGAATCACAAGACACACTGTCGTTCTTGTTAATGCCCACACGGATTCACAGGCTTCCACTGCCGCATCGGGCCCCTGGCTGTGTAGCAGCGATCACTGACAAGTCTTTCCAACTACAGTACCAGCGCCTACACATCCCCTCCAATCCCCTCAACTTCCTTCTGAGCTTCCAATCAAAAGAGCCTCTCCCACAACTTCCCTGTGGACAGAGACTGACTGGAGGCAGACAAAGTGTACTAGACCCCCGCCCCCGCCCCCCTCCCCCCCAGGCAGGGAGCGTCACTCTCTGAGTCCTTTGTTCTCACTTATAAAGGGGAGTTCTGAGTTAACTAGATGGAGGATGTCTGTGTGCCCAGGTCTTGGGATTGGACATGAGGAGGTGCAAATCTACACCTTTATGTAAGTATCCCAGGGCTCCAAAGCATATCTTTTAACAGTGCAGAGACTAGCATTTTTTTTCCCTATAGTAGAACATTGCTTACCCAAAGCGGCTCATCGTCTGAGCACTTTTTGGGATATAGAATTTCTGTCCCCCTCACTTAAAAGCAAAAAAAAAAACAAAAAAAACTTCTGTCAAGTCCATTCCAACTCATAGCAACCCATTAAGAACTGTCCCCTAGGATTTCCAAGGTGACATGTTACAAGAGCAAACTGCCACATCTTTCTCCCATCGATCAGAGGGTGGGTTCAAACCACCAGCCTTTGGGTTAATCTGATACTTAGCTGCTGTGCTGCCTGGGCTTCCGTCCCCTCTATCCCCCACCTGTTGCATCACTCGGCACTTTAGCAAGGTCCCCATTTGCACACCACAGCTTGAGAAGCCTGGGCTGTGGGCAGAGTAGCATTGATGGAGATAACTCATTCGCTTGTCCAGCCTAACACTACTGGGCAGGAGCCGTAGCAAGCCTGGCACTCAGGGCTTCATGTCAAATGTGTCACTTGCCACTTTGCTACACCTGCTAGCGAAATAACAGGGAAATGCCATGAATAGTTTTCTTGCATTAGTTAAATCGAAGTAGTAACACCTGGCAGCTCTGAAATTTTCAGCAGCACAGGAGTTTGAAAAGTCTAGGTCCTCATTCTCATGCGGCACTTGTGGATCGGGGAGAGTCCAGTCTCTCCAGGAGCCCATAGGCTCAAAGCTGAAGGCCACCCTCTGAACTTGGGGACCCTTCAGTTAAGAAGGATGCCGGAGTTAGTTTCCTTTAGAAAGGGGAGGAAGTACCCATTACCTTATATGTTATGTGTGTCCTCACTTATCAATATGGTCATTATGTGAAAATCAACATTTGTGACAATGGAGGATAAGTACACCATCCCATAACTGCCAAATTCCATCATTTCTGTAAGAATGGTGTGGGAGTGGCATCTGACCTCTCTGACTTCACAGGGTGGAGGTGAGGGGGTGGGAGATCAAACTTAACCCACTCTACTTCTCTGCTGGGCTCTCTAATTCTTTGCAAAGGCCACACAGAACTCATAGACCATCCTTGGGATTATGGGGGTTATTAGGGAAGTTAGCTAGCTACAGTTTGGCATCAGAAATGGTCAGGATGCCATTCTGGCTAGAAGCACCTCTCTGGTTCTCAACTACACGGTCCCTCTAACACTGCTGGAAAGAGTGTGACAAAGCTCTTTTAGCACTGTCAGTGAATGCTAAAGGACACGCCTCTCCATCATAAGGGCCAGCCTTACAATCCTTAGCTCTAGCTCTGTGGCTCAGCAAACCTAGCTCCCCCAATTAAGTGCTTGGAGGCACCCCATTCTACAAGTGAGCCTTCTGCCCAAAGACACTCCGCTTTATGGGCTCCACAGACTGGGAAGCCCACCACTCTCATGCTGTGGGTTCTGCCTCGGCCACTTCTACCACATATTTGGCTCACAGCCCTCTGGCGCCTGGGCTACAGAGATTCCGTGAGGAGGTTCAGGAATACAGAGGACACAGCTCTCTCCTGATTCCTGCTTCTGGGATGGTTCGTTTTAAACCCAGTGGAATGACAAAACTGACCAGTCCCCTCATTAAGTTGCATACATATTATTTGCATGCCCCGCCCCCTCATTCAATGAGAGTTACAAAAACTGGCTAGAGGGGCCATATCAAATAATTCATTGCACCACAATGATATAACTGCCAAACCTCTGGGAATCATGGTGCAGCCAAATTGACACCTCCCCTTAACCACCTCAGCCAATATTATTCTCACCTTAGGATTCATTACTGCCAGAAGTATACTGTGAATGTAAAGCAGATAGTTGGGTAGTAGATATTTACTATTGTTGTAGCTGTTAAACATCAGAAAATGGGACATTCAGTGAGTGAGTGATTCTGACTCATAGCGGCCCTAGCGGACTGCCCCTGTGGGTTCCCAAGACTGTATAACCCTTGACAGGAGGAGGGGTGACGGGTAGGAATAATCACGTCAACCCACACCTCTATCACCTTCTTCTTTTGTCACCACTGAGGGTTTTCGTTAGCCCCTCCCACACTTAATCTCAACAAGACGCTGTGTCCCCCATTTTCCCCAAACTGCCTGACCTCTGTGGCGGTGAGCATGCCTTGGGGGTCCAGACGTTGCTTTTGATGGGAGGATGAAGCCCATCTTAATGTATTGGAGCGGAAGGTTCACAAGGAACCAGACACTTTTATTTCTTCTTCTTTTTCAACCTAGACCTTTAGACTATCAAATATCGGGTTATCTGAGTGCCAGTGATTTTTTTAAGGTGTGCTAATTGCCACTCGTTCCTGCTGGAATATCCCAGTAAGAATTCTATTTAAAATGCCAGTTCCCAGGCCCTTCCTAGGCTCTGAGGATGAAAAATATCATGGAGTGAATAGCAAGGACATGAATTTTAATTTTTAATCCCCTCAGGTGAGACACAGGTGAAACACAAACCCACTCAGGTTTGGAAAGAACTTAACTTTTGAAACAAGAATAACAAAGCCCAGTGCCGTCAAGCCAATTTGGATTCCTAGTGACTGTCTAGACCTGAGGAGATCTGCTCCATGGGGTCCCTGAGACGAGAGATCTCCCAGGGTGTAGACAGCCTCCGCTTTCTCTCAGAATAGCTGTGGGGCAGGGAGGTGTTGAACCACTGACCTGTAGTTAGTGGCCCAACACCCAGCCCACTGTGCCACCAGTGGTCCAACCAAAACCCAAACTCACAACCATGGAGTGGATGCTGACTCAGTGTGTGTGTGTGGGGGGGGGGGGGGGGGGGGGGGGAGACACTGCCGCTGCGGGTTTGCAAGACTTCAGCTCTTCACAGGAGCTGGAAGTGGTCTTTCTCCTGCACCAGGGGCTCAGGGGGTTCCAAATAACCAGTTCAGACAATAGTAGCTGCAGCTCCCACTGAGCACCTGTTAAGAGTTCCCTGTGCATATTTCTCTGCTTCCTCGAGGCTCCCTCATCCTCTCCCCGCGCCCATCCACTATCATGATCCCAGTCCGACCTCTCAGTCTGGCTAGACCAGAGCATATACACTGGTACAGATAAGAACTCATGACAAAAAGAAAAAAGAGCTCACGACACAGGGAATCCAGGTCATATAAACCCCACAGGAGCAGAAATGGGAGTAGCAATACGAGGAGGGGAGGGGGAAGAGGGAACCAATCGCAATGATTGTTGTATGTCATGCCCCCCACCCACCCACCACCAAGGGGGACAAACAACAGAAATATGGGTGAAGGGAGACAGTGGACAGTGTACGGCATGAAAATAATAATCATTTATAATTTATGAGGGTGGGAGGGTGGGAGAAGGAGGGAAAAAAGAAGAGCTGGTACCAAGGCCTCAAATAGAAAGTAAATGTTTAGAAAATGATGATGACAACATATGTACAAATATGCTTGCTACAATTGATGTATGGATTGTTATACGAGCTGTAAGGGCCCCCAATAAAATGATCTTTAAAAAAAAAAAATTCCCTGTGCAGCTTCCTAAATGAGAATCTTCTCCGTCAGGGCCCAGAGCGTGGCATTTGTACAGAAGCCCAGACACTACAAAAGCGTGTTCACGGAGACCAGGATCTTCAAGGGAGGAAAGGTCGCTGTGTTCAAGGTCAAACCACTTGGGCGCCTCAGAGCAGCACGGGCACAGCCACAGCCACAGGAGCCTTGGTCGGAGAATCAATCAGTGAGGGAAACAAGCCAGAGTGGACATCACCCACAGTTTCTAACCCATAAGAGGGCACTGTAAGTGCCTGAAATTGAGTCATTTCCACTCGGTCGTCGTTTTCCATCTGTGAGGATCATCGGAGATATCAAGTCCAGAGTTCAGGCCAGACAGCAGGCCAGTAGTTTTCACATGCCTTACCTCACCCCTTCTCACTGCAATCAGACACAGTAGGTACCAGAGTTCCATAACTGCCAAGCCTCTGGGAGGGAATCTTGGCCCGGTTAAGTTAACACATAACCTTCCATTTATTGAGGAGTAAGTGCAGGCACAAGGAACTCGCCCAGAACAAGGAGAGCTAGCAGCACTCCTGGGATCGGATCCAAGGCTGGCTTGGCCCTAGGGACTGTGCGGTCCCCCCACAATCAGACAATTCAGTATCACCTGGCTTTTAAGCACCGCAACCACACAGCAACCCTTGTCCTGATCAACTGGATCTACTAAACTTTAATAAGTGATTCCTAAAAGTCACTAAGACTCAAGTTCAGAGATTTAATAGGGTTTAATGGAGGTTAACAAGGTCCGGCCAACCTTCTAGCCAGGTTTTAACTTACTGGAGCTGAGCAGAGAGATATTAACAAGCCCGAGAGGTGTAAAGGCACCTGCATGATTTAATGGGGCTAATGAAACTGTCAGAGGTTGGCCAAGAGGGACAGAAGTGGAGCATGCTGCTGTTTAATGAGCCAATCGGTGGAGGTCAACAGACATTTATTAAACAGACGGAGCCTGCCCTGCCCTGCCCTGAGCTGCCTAGGCCTGGCACCACCGGGATGGCAAGTCAAAAGATGTCTCAACTGAGATGTCAGCTGTATCAGTCCTGGTTGGTGGGATTTGGGCCA